TTCTCTCAAGACAATTCAGATGTAAAAATCTATTTGTCTCATTCTAAAACTGACCTGTTTGGAAAAGGGGTTGTTTTGGTTCTACCTGCAGTTGAGAGAAAGATATACTGAAACGCAACAAGCAGTAATCTACATATGTTTGATTTTTTTATCTAATGATTTTCAATAATGAATACAATAAGGCTTAACTCACTTTTCAGAACATCAGAGATTTAATAAAATTGTTAAATGTTTATCTTTTGACTTTACTATGTAACATATGACTGTTAAAACACCCCCTCCAAGCCATTCAAGTAAAACGTGCAATATTGCCCTAAACAACAATTGCAGCTTAATTTCTACGATACAATAGGTTCATCAATATCGAAATCTGAGCGAAGGAATTATTCTTTGCCGTTTTTCAGATAATTAGGTCGAATTTTCTCTAAATTAGAGCAGTGTAGCCACCCTTGGACTTCCGGTAGAAGGACTGTCCTTAATGCATGCGATACGTAAGACCCTGTTGAGGCGTAATGTAGTAAATGTTGCATCAGCAACTCTCCATCACCTTTACATTGAAATTTTCCAGCTAGAGCAATGAAAATGTGTACTTAAGCCATTTTCAAGAAGCCTTAGCATCGTTACGGGAAACGAAAGGAGAGTTTATGTTTTGAAATATTGCTGATGATAAACCGTAAAAACCCTTAAAACTCCATAATATTGCCAAATAATATTTAAACATGCAATTTTTGATTTCTGTAATGCAGACTCAAACTTGACTTACGGTTATGGTATGAAAATCGTTCAACCGTTAAATTAACGACGTTTACCAAATTGAAGATATCCATAATTTTAAGATACAAAATCATTTACTTAACATAATTATTTCGCCCTAAAGTAGGGTGTTGCGTTTCTTTTGCGTGTCAGTATATGTCCAGTCAAGTTATTAAAACATTATTCAGTTGAACGTCCCGTAACTAAGGATCCTTTTTTCTGTCACTTCGACATGTAACCATTACCACTTTATCAATTCAATGCCATATTGAAAAAGTGTTAAGCATTGGGATAGACAATAGAAAGTACAAGTAGTATTCATTTATTTTAGGATAGGTGGTGCCACAACAGTTTCTATTAACGGCAGGTCAGATGATCAAATTAAAAAACTGGGTCGTTGGGGATCAAAAGCTTACAAGAGATATATAAAAATACCAACCTCAAATTTGATTAAAGGCTAAAGATGCTATTGGTTGTATTACTTCTAGCATCTCAAGCAGAATAGCTTGATAGGTTTTCTAATATCAGTCTAGAAAATGTTATTTTAAATATATTTTGATTACATATATTTCAGAAGGTGTAAGAATATGGATTGTTGGATCGTCAATAGTATGGCCTGCTTTTGGTTATACTAGACAAAATCGACATTGGTCAAATTCCAGTAAGTAAATTCCAGTCTAGTAATGCTAGGGACAACCATGCTCTTAATAAAGCCAGGGTTTGAGTTAATAGCTTTGTTGCAATGAAACTTCTGGCACATCAAGGGGGATATCTTCGGTACCCAGAGTTCACTTCGGTTGATCATACTCTACTTTAAGAGGATGGGGTGCACTTGTCAGAACAAGGCAGTAAGAAATTTGTTGAAACTTTGAGGAAGGCTTTGCACAATTTTATAATGTCAGGGGTGGGCGTTTTTCCTGCTTAAAATGGCCATGGCACTCTATTTCACTGACAAAATAATGTAAATCACACTTACACTTAAATATACAATGATGTAGCTAATGTTATTGTTTTATACTCAATTGTCTTGGTATGCAATATTTAATTTGTGTACTTTGCCTTTCTTTAGAAAGGGGTGGGGGTGGGGTGGGGGGCATTTTAATCATAAAACCGCCATTGTGGCGATGGACACATAGTGTCCATTTGGCGCAATCTTTAGCTGAACTTAAACAGGGTTATATTTAGTGAGCATCTGTTCCCAGGGCTCTCTACAACTGTACATTATTATTTTCAATATGTGTGAAATTTCAATTTCCTTATTTGTGTCAGACGGGATGAAACATTTGCAATGTATTATATGCCAGTAGATTGTTTAACAGCTTCATTTGTATAATTGCCTATTTCATATTCATTTCTATATTTGCCTGTTTCTTGTGGATTTTCATTTACATGTATTTGCCATTTGCCATTTGGGTTGACAAAATCGCCCGTTGTATTTGGGTCGGTAACCTTGGTTAAGATTGTACCCAGTAACTAACTGTAATTGATTATAAATGAAAATTGTAGTGCTGTCATGGCCATTATTCGCCATTAAACTTTAAGAAATTTATATCTGTGTGGTTTTCTCTAATAAGACATTATAACAAAGAAAGTGATTGATCAGTATGCTTTCAATATTTATCTTGGATGCATTATTAGAGATGACAACAGATATTACGGTAACATATATAAAAAGAATCATCAGGATCGATATGTTAAACAAATTTATTCTAGTTTTAATGATGAAGGAAACAGTAAAAGAATGTTAAGATATTAAAAAGGACCCATGACTATGTTATAATTAGAAAACTGTACTTTAGCGCAACACATGCATACAGGATACGTGTTCATTTGGATCCTATCAAAAATGAGCCGTGAATTTCATTTCCTTTGCATTTTAATTCTTGGCTTTTCATGCAAACCAGCTAGACCGGAGGCCACATTCGGCAGCTATGGTGTTAGAATTGATGTGAACCCCTCATCGTCTTGTCTAGCATTTCAACACGTCATAAATTCTTTGTATTGCTTTAGAATTTGTTTGAAAAAACTGGCATCCCTCAACATGTTCAGTCATAATGAAGATGATCTAAGGTGTATGTGTTGTAACGATGCTCCAGCAAATGAAAGTTTAATGAATGGTACAGCTTGGGAAACATACGTCCTCGGTACGTATTATATGCCTTAAAATCGTATTTTACTTCGCAGTTATGTTAATGATTTTTTTTCTATATACCATGACTACCCACTGCTCATTGTCATGAACGGGAAATAACGGAAAATCAGTCTTCAATTCTGTGTATTATTAATGTACTTATTGTTAGTATATCATTTATACACTGAATTGAAGACGGATTTTTCCGTTATTTCCCGATCATGACAAGGAGCATACAGTAAGTTTGACCGGTCGCAGGGGATGTTCACTCCTCCATGGCAACTGATCCCTCCTCTGATATTTTGGAGGTCTGTACTTGCTCTGCTCCTATTTTGTACTGTTTTATGGACTGATGTTGAATACTCTTCGTTATCTCCATATGTTTCATTCATCCTTTTCATATTAACCCTTTCCGAGTAAGGATACTTAAAGACAATTGTTTGAATCTTAAGTTAACATACTGATATTGTACCAAAATAATATAGCCAATACTACTACTACTACATGAATAAGTACACGCACTTATTCTAATTGTACTTATACATATTCTAATGCTTGTACTGTTACTAATTGAACTCCGTATTTCTATAATTAATAGCATACTGCCCGTCTGGATATGTTCAGTTTCAATATTATTACTTACATATCTGCTTGAAATACGTACCAACGAATTCTTCGTACCCGGATGCCGTTAGCGATTGCAAAAAAGACAGAGGGGATCTCATCAGAATTGATACGACAGCAAAGTACGACATCTTCAAAAATTTTGTAGGTGTGAATCAACATGTTTAGAAAGATTTTGTAAATAAATATAGTATGAAAAGATGTTTACGGTTTGCTGGTTTTAAAATTTTTTGTCATTGATATTTCCCGAATTTTAAATCAATAATTGTGACTTCATAATAAAGTAACTCTTATAACAAGCACTTTTAAATTACTTAAATACAATTCATAATTGAAAATAAAGTATATCATGTATTCCAAATGAAAACAGTTTTAATGTTTTATTGTTTAACAATTAGTCTTCCTATCTTTATGATTTGAAGGAACATGCAGCCAATGGCAATATTCAGGTCTGGGTACAAGGTGTAAAAGAAAATGGACAATGGAAATTTCATGATGGCTCCTCAATGCCAGCTGTCTGCCCTGTGGTTGAATCTAACGTTACCGGTGAAAACCACATGAGGAGCATAAACGACTATGACTTTGAATGTGCAGATGTTAAAGCCACTGTACTATATAATTACATCAGTGAAAAAATCAATTTCTAGTGATATCAGTATTATGCCGATTTCAGCCGATCACGTAGATGTTTTTCCCTTTTTTATTTTGAATTTATGTTTTTAATCCTTGCGGAGAGTTGTGCAATGTTTACCATCAATTGAATTCAATTGTATTGTAAGTTCGTTCATGTATTCTCACTTCCTATGCACTTTTGTTTCTTTAGGAATAATGGTTTTCAGGGAGTAAGAATCATCCAATGTTGAAGATTGCAGTTTTGACAGAAAGTATTTAAATTTTCTGATTTATGTTGTGAACATGAATCCATGGATCTATTTATACCTTTTAATAACGAAAATCCCTATGAAAATATGGGATTTGATTAGTTGCTGTGAAATACTGCATTGGATTTCCTTCCTTAATACATGAGCAATAGGACCGAGGTCTAGACTTCTTCTTTTACAGAGTCTTGAAAGACAAAACTTTTATTTCTTTTATTAGTCCACTTTTTCCAACGATTTTATCTGTATTATAGTTTTTTCAAAGAAGAATGCTTTGTAAAATAAAGGCTTCTAATTTAATGCAAGTTTTTGCAAATATGTAAATTTGAAAATGAGAATTTAAAAATTCTCAAATTCTCAAACAGGAACAACATACAATAAATCAATCAATCATCGTCAGCTTCACATTTTATCCCTTTACAGGGAGAGGGTTAAAACAGGCTTTGCCTGCTGCCCGATACCATTTACATTTTGTGAATAAAATTTTGTATAGAAAGAAAAAATATGCTTCTTTATAGTACTAAGAATTGCCTTCTCTCTTTTCATAAGAGAACATACTGTCACAAACTAGGCCGAATTTTGTCTAAAAGGGTCTTAAAATTTATAAATAATGCAGTAATACTTATAATTAAAGTGTGTCGGAATTATGGAAACTATTTATTCACTTATTTTCGAAATTCGTTGTAGATTAGATATAATTCGTCGTAGAGAAAGGGGCCACAGATATCAATTAAGTCACATCATCTGTCCCCTACCATTACGTCCAGCAAGCGATTTGGTAATTTACATCAGCATTTTTAAGACATCGAGTAAAGTAATAGGATCTGTGATTATAGATATATTTAAGGTCACCTGAGTTTGCTCTGTTGACCTATTAATATTTGTTTACGTCCGACGTTGTCCGTCGTGTCCTAACATTTTAACATTTTCAGTTTCTTCTCTGAAATCACTGAACTAATGTAAACCAATTTTAGCAAAAGCAAATGTGATAAAAGGTAAAAATATGAATTTATGACCCCTGCTCCTTGGGGCCTGAGAGCTTGAACTTAAAAAAAATAATGCACTCTTTAAAAATCTTTTTCTTTACTCCTGACATCAAATATTCAGACTGTTGGACGATTATAATACATGTAAGCATTGATCACTCTTTCAGAATTGTGAAATTCAAGGTCCAAGGATCATGGGTATACAAAAAAAATCTTTTCTGCTCTGAGTATTGAGCAAACAATCTACATACATGTAGTTATGAAGCGAAAGATGCTTCTTCTAAAATTTGAATATTATGGCCCCAGGGTCAAGGGTTCAGACATTTTTGGCTTGGCTCTACAGATTATATTGTCAAAATGCATTATTTTTTTTAAAACAAATCTTCTCTTCTACTAGATTTGTGAATTATATGGCACTGGGTCAGATATTCTGATGTATTAGGGTGGGATTCTCTTGGTTATATAGCAGGAATGGAATTCTTCATTTGATTTTTAATGGTTCATCACAAGAAAAATGTTGCATTTGTCTACTGTGTTGCATGTAATATCAATAGAGTGGAGAATGCTGAGTCTAAGAGTTAAAAAAAATATGAACCTGATATAAGAAATGAAAATTCATACTTTCTGAATCAAAGGTATTCCATGCAGTAAAAATACACATATGACCTCTTAAATGCTAATTGTGACTTCATTATTTTGTGCATTTTCCTGTATTTTCTTAAAAAGTTGCAGAAGACATCCATTTTCTGTGGAATTTTTCAGAAAACATATTCTTCCACCGTCGCCACAACGATTTGGAAAATTGTGATTTTTTTCAAAGCAGTCTACAGCTCAACACACTTTTTAAACTCACATGGTTTTTCGCACAAATTAAGGTCACATTGTTATATTGCAAAAAATTGTGTAAT